AATTTTGATTTTCGAACACAAACTGCTGTCACGTTTTCCCGCCTAAAGTGGCGGCAGCCGCCATCTTGGAACGTGACGGTGACGGCTGACGCGTGTTGACGCTTCTCTATTTAAATATTGCGCCTCTTTTATTCGCCACCTATTTTGTTTTAACAAATAGGGGATCTAATTTATTGTGGGGGATATTTTGTTGGCGTTGGCTGTATAATGAACGCAGTTCTTTTGTTTTAAACTACGTGGGGTACCAACACTTAACACTAGGGTTAAAATAATTTCTCACAATATATTTTATTTACGTACTAAGTATTGTAAAACAAAGCGTATAGTATTGTTTGGTGCAATCAACAATAAAGACATTTCCATTGTGTTTTAATTATTATAGAATTATTTTGTTCACCCTAGGTTTATCTGCTAAAGGTACTTGAAAGACTGTTCGTAATAAAATTAAAAAATTTCCTATGAAGTGTTCCATAAATAGCGACTATTTTGTAAGAATAAATCAGTCAGTCGGTGATCAATATAAAACCTCGCATAAAATGTAGGAACAGTTACGAATTCCTTATTTAAAATCAAGTCACACAGCGTCACAAACAAGTCAACGATAAATCGAAAAAGTCATTGTTAATCCGAGCTTTTTGTCTTGTCGACTACTCAGTTACAATCGAACTCAGGAAAAGTAACAGGATATCCTTTTCAGATCACGTATCAGGTTGTTACGTAGATAACCGTGTGAGCGATACACGTTGATATAAAACACGGATAAGTCTCACTTCATGGCAAGCAGGTAGCTTATATTAAATTCATCCGACATCTGTTCCTGACACTCTCTCAAACACCGACAGTGAGCCAACTGCCAGTGTTCGCGAAAATTAGTTGCGCTTAGTTCCAAGTTACCTACTTTAGTCTCGAGAACCGAAAAACAAAGGATCGTTAACGCAAATTACGTTCAGAAATTTAACGAGGACGTACGTAATTATTCTGATATAATTCAGGGCACATTCATTAAGTTGTCATAATTACTTAGTTACAACCTCTAAAGTATTCCAAGAAAATGTGCTTCTTAAGTTTTCATTTTGATGTTTATGTATACTCAGGTACCGAGTATTACACGGGCTTACTTTCTTTACAACATAAAATAATAACGAGCAAACTTGAGCTGCTTAGTTTATTTTTAAACGAAGAAAGAGTTCGGAATAATTAAGAACCTCCGCACAAAAATCTCTCGCGGTTAAAACATAGCATGTTACCGCGGACCTCATTATTCCGCGATTTATACCGAGCCTCCAGAAAGCGAACTAGGGACGCGCACTTGACCTGTTTTTTCATAAACAATATACAATACCGCATTCTGTCCTGTAGAAAAGGGTAAAAGGATAATAAATTCCTTCTAGCAAAGGCAGTTGATTTACGAGAACTCACAATTCAGATTATTTGGGTGGTTCTGACATTATTTATGAGTTAATTTGCATTAAAACAGTTTTTATTCTGAGAAATATTGTGAGGACGCTTTTTCGTGCCTTCGTTCCGAATGTTAATGAGTTATTGACTGTGTTACAGTGACGGCTCATCGTTCAACTTGCCACACGAAAAAATGCTACTGAAATTTTCTTTTACTAAAAGTGTAGGTAAGCAGTTTTGAAAGGCATTTTTAGCTTTATGTCGGTCAGTATTTTACATAAAATATTCTGTTGGTAAAATTTACTGAGAGTTGAAAAAAAAGGAAAAATATTCTCGTGAGAGCCAGTGTATTGGTTTACGTCAGTACAAGAACAGTAACGCCATGTTGCAGAATAGACGGACACTTAAAGTCCCTAAGAATAGAAACTATTTATCTAGCTACGTTGTAATGCAATAGAATCCAGCATTTTTACGAGGATCTGAAGGGTTCGTTAACAAAAAGTGCCTTTCGCAATTAATAAGGCGTTCCTTTTAGTGGCTAATAAAACAAGGATCGCGTTCGCTAACCCTTAACTTCGATTACAGCTATTCATAGTAATCGTCGATCGTCACGATAGTTGTATATGTAAAGGACTCGGGAGGATAATTGGTTCGCATTAAGCCATCTTCCCGGCTGGCCCGGACGTTGACTTACTGAAGGGCCGTGCCGACGCAGCGTTTCCCGCGCCGACGATCCTAGTCATCATTTTTTTTATAACGACGCCTGTTTTTAACACTACGATCCTTGTTTAATAGCGGCCCCTCGTATAAAAAACGTTTTAGCTGAAAATTATGGGATTATTCGTAGGATGTTTTTAGAGAATTTGGTCCTGAGATCCAGTTTATTGGTCCTTTGTGGTTGCTAATAGGCTGGATGTCAAGTAGACCGGAAAATTCCATTAGAGCATTCATTGTGCGATGTCAGATCTCAAGCATACGTGCCATTGTTCTCATAACCAATGGGGGATGTAAACGAAGATATGTCAATGAGATTTAGATCGGTACTTCCAATAAATATCTATGTTGAAAATTTAAGTTGATCTGTTTATATTTTATCTGCTAGATACGAAATACATTCAGATTAAATACAAAATACCATTTTATTCCAAAGTGTATGATGAAGAGCAAAAGAAAGTATTTTGTATTAATCTCATCAACAGCCATTAAATACCTACTGCTGAGCAAAGCCTCTTCTCACACGGAGAAGGTTTGAGCATTAATCACCACGCTTGCTCAATGCGGGTTGGCGATTTCAAACTTACAATTAGAAATTATAAGTCCAGGTTTCCTCACGATATTTTCCTTCACCGTTTGTCAGTGGTGTCTAAATAATCTTAGAAAGTACATATAACTCGGAAAAAATCACATTGGTACTAGCATTTGCTAGGTTTGTTACCCTCATTCATGAGAAGCGGGCGTCTTAAACCTCCGGGCCACCACGACGTATTAATATAAAACACTTAATTGTAACTGAACCTTAAAATACTCTCGAAAATGTACAGATCAGATACATTCAGTTTCATCTGCACTTACAGAAACACAACTGAACATCCCAGTACTTAGCACTCACGTCTATATTGCTTCTAGAAAATGTTGTTAACCAATAAAAAAAAACATATAAAATGGTACTTAGGGTTTACGCAGGCTATGTCGATTGCAGAATATTACGTGTTTACGTTTACAATTCTAAGTAAAGTAAGGAAGGAATCAGTGGGGAATGCTTAGTGAAAATCTTGAAGGTTTCAGTTTACGACCTGTATTTTACGAGGGGTGTGTTTTCAGGCTCCATCCTGTAACGTCTGTCTGCTATAATATCTCATGTTTTGTATTTCAATTTTCATTTTTTTGCGTTTTTTTTATTTCTGTTTTAATTTTAGGGACTTTTTTTGGTGCACTACCATGTTACGTATAGGTAACATTTTATATATTGTACCTGGTTTTAATAAGAGAGTCGAGTGCTTTGCAAGGGTGTAGCTAAGGAAGTTTATTTTTATGTTGAAAAAATGAATGCAAATATATTGTATTGTTAACAGCACGGTATTATCCGTCAAATTTTCGTGAAAGTGAACACATTACATTCACTTTAGCAAGCCCTTTCGAAAATAATAGACACGATGATAGTTTCATCGTCTTCCCCAATGGTGCATAGATCCGATTATACATAGACTTTATGTTATCATTCTAATACACATAACATAACGCCTTATACCCCAGAAAGGGTAGGCAGAAGTGCACATTACAGCACTCAATGTACAATGTAACACCCACTTTTCACTATTCATGTTATGAGTCCCATGTAATAGGAGGTGAGCCTATTGCCATATACCGGGCACATGTCCAAACTCCGTGCTACTACTGAGAATTGTTTTCAAAACCCAGTAATACTTTGCCCGACCTAGGAATTGAACCCGAGACCTCTAGCCCGGCAGCCGCACTTGCGACCACTCGGCCAATGAGGCAGTCGTCATTCTACTATTAAGTGCATTTTCACAAAAAAAAAATACCTATAATACTAATTGATCTACAGATCATTACTGATCTCGACCAAATATGTTTTGAGTCACTAGAGCTACAGTTACCTAGAGTTATACTAGATTTCGTTCCGTAACCTAGTTGGGGAAAAGCCAAGAAATAACGATAATAGAAATGAAATATTGTGTGATAATCTTACTATGGAATATGATGAAGGAACTTCATTATTTTCCACTGTAAGACAATATAAAAATAGAATCAGAAGTGACTTCCCCGGGGATGAAATATGTATGTACGTTTTAACTGACATCCGTAGGTATAAACTACTTAAGAAATAGAACCCCGAATTTTAACTTATTCAACTATTAGTATTTACCTAAGTATTCAATTCCAAACAAAATTATATATTCACTTAATTTGCAAACAGAGCCAAATAATTTATTAGAAGAGTATTAATTTTCTTTAATTGCTAAATTTAATGATTATGGGTAAATTAATTAATACCAGGAATCATCAATCTCGTGTAAGGAAATTAAGAGATTCCTAAGAAGTTTCTCTTTATTTCAATATTTTTTTTAACCCTAGAATAATAGTGTTTATCCGTAAATCACATATATAATTCTAAAAATGTTCTGTAACTAATAATACCTTTAAAGTGTCGAGAGACCACGTGCTCATTACATTTGTTAACGACCACTAGTCCAAAACAGTCAACAAGTACCTAAATTTCAAAATTCCCAACTACAACTTTAATATCATAAAGAAATGTTGACTTCTGAAATTATAACGCTTAAAAGACTTACATACTTTTGATAGCTACAATGATGAGAATAACTACAGTTTGACACGAACTTTCATTCAGAACAAACCGATTGATACATAAAAAATCCTCTACATTAACTTTGCTGACACATTTCCGCACAATAACCATCATAATGACGTATAAAACCGCAACTCAAGCGTAAAATATCACAAAAATGCCAATCTTCCGTGGAAACGACAACAGAAACTAAATAAAAACATTGAAAGTAGGGTTATCTTTAGTATTTACTAAAACAAAACTTTATACACAAACAACATGAAGTACTTACTTGCAAGCAGGCGGAGGTAACGTCAGCCGACACATTGGAAACACGAAAAAATCGTCAACACCCAAATACTTGGCTACACATCATGACACAAACGTAGTAAGTGTAGTAACCGAAGCACATGTAGAGGCGTGCCGTAAGTTCGCCGGTGCACGCGGCCGCACTCAATCAGCTGATCGCGTACGACAGTTAATCAATCAGCAGCGCGCCGCCAGCGGTGCAGGGGTCAGGTCCAAGCGCGGCTGCCACACTAGCTGACTGAAGAACCGGTTCCCATTGACACTAGTACTGGATACTCGGATACGAGTCGGCGGCGGCATTTTCGAGCTCCAAGCGGGCGGCCCCGCCGCACTCGCCGCCACACTAATCAGTAATCGTTGCTGGAGGGAGGCTGCGTCGCTCTCGCCCTCGTCCCTCCGCCCTCCCGCGTACCCCGCCCCGCGCACACAACCCCCGCGCGTAGCCTACTACATCCGACCAGAATCGGAAGACGGGAAATTCGGTAAAATAAGGAAATTTCGGCCTTTTAATTTTTCGTGTTTTACTTTGAATATAAATCGGTGCTTTTATGTAAAATCTTTCTTCTCTTGGAATATGTTTCTGTCAACTTCCTTATTTTGTCGCCTATTAGGCTCATTATGGGAGAATTTTATCGGCATTGATATAATAAATAAAATATCAATGTACATATTTTTCCCATTTTTGTTTCCTCTAAGCTGTTTTGATGTTGCGATGAAAATGAATAGCTTTTGATAGGACTGGGCTATCTGCGTTTTCCTTCACGACCGCCTACTCTTTGACTAGGAGCCAAATTTTCAGGGGTGACACACTGCCATTAAATATTCATTCGTGGATTGTAAATTAGTGAATTCTCCGAGATAACAGGGCGCCTCGGGAGGCGATAAGGCTCAAATGAGACCGACACTTATCGTGAACCTAACCAGCCGTGGGTAGACCGCGATCACTCATGGTACACTGAGCATAAACGGAGAATCTTAATAATAATATTTAACTGATCAACTTTTAAATATTTAGTCAGAACTCGGAGCGAATAAAAAGAAAATATTTTTCTAAAGAACAGAGAGTTTTGTTAACTGCTTCCGAATATTTGGCTTCATCAAAATTCATCATAATGAAAAATTAGAGCAAAAACATGGTTCCGTTTTTATACTTCAGTAAATAAATCTACCGTAGAAAAATCAGCACCAAAATTAATTCTAAACTTAGTTTTATAATATTATCTTAATCTTCTATTTTCGGAGCCCACACAAATGATTTGCAACTAGAGCGCTATCCATTTCTCATTTATAATTAGAATTAGGTTTAGGCCAAACTTTTAGACAGGTTTGTAATTTGTTAGCAGGTACTAAATGGGAAATATGAACTGGTCCTTGGAGTCGCGACCCTAGTCAATGCGCCTGCGCGATGACTCCACGTCAAGAGGCGATCTTAGTTCGCACATCTTTTAAAATGCACCGACTCGTCCACCGCCGTACTTCTACAATCTGAACATTCAAATTGAGCTTAACCTGACACCGATCGAAACCTCCGCTCCTACAACCCTCAACTTTATCACAACTCCAATAAAGTTTAAATTCACTATCTACAAAAGTATGTGTGATAATTTTGGACGCTGACCCTGCATCGTTTGCACGTCTTGTGTAAGTTAAGAACTTTGTAAGATGTCCGTGAAATATTAGCGTATGAAAATTTTGCATCGTAAAGTCCCTAAATAAAGTCATTCCACCTTAATGGAAACTTAGTTGAAATTTACTGGACTGGCTCGAGGTGTGATTTATGAGATTGTGGGCCCTGGTCCAAGGGGCTCAGTAGAGGACCAATATAATGCTAAGGAAGAGGATAGAAACAGTTGATTAATCAATAAATTCAAAGTAATTGGATGAGGCTCATATAACACTAAGCAACGTCTTAATTTTAATCTTCTATTATGTTTTAATACAATGAGTTCATCGAAGCTGTGAACAAAGCAAAATTCTTTAGTTTATTATACTTCATCACTTCTTGACTTCATAACATTTAATTTTGTGTTCAAATGAAGCAGACATAATGATATACTAAGCCTGACCAATTGTAATAACAAAAAATGCATCTACAATTCCATTAATTGACTACTCTCTCTACACAGAGCGCTATAGAATCTGCAGAAACTTATCCATTTGCTAACGAACCGACTTCCTCGCTCCCATTGCGACTGCCTGTCCAAAAATCATACGTAAAAAACCTTTTGACTCAGGTCACATCAAAATTTCAAGTCTCGAAATTTGCCAGTGTCGTCGGTGCAAGCCGACGGGCGAGAGAGGGGAGGTGAGGGGGAACCATTGTTCAGAAGGAGTGCAGCCGGGTCGCGGCCCCCTAAGGTACAGGACCTTAGGACCCAAGTAAAGTTACCGATGTGAATAACTTATTGAGTTACATTTTTCATTAGAATATTTTCAACCCTCAAATTTTACAGCAGGTGTGTGTCCAAAAATTTTATGAAAATCACACGAAAGGGTTGCTGGGCTTCATTTTCGAGTTTTTACTAACTTAATTTGCTTTGGGATTTTCGAATTTATAATTTGGACATTGTTATACACAACAGTGTGAAATCACAACACAGTAAATTAAGCAATGAAGTAAAATGTGTACATTAAAGAACATTATTCTTGATAAAAATGTTCAACTTTACTGCAGACTCATTTGTCTTGTACAATTAGTTCTAATTAAAAGAATCGATCGGTCGTCGTCTGTTAGGAAAGTTGTAAAAAGAGAGAACAACAGTGTAGTCGGGAATAAAATCAAGATGTACTATGAATGATTACCGAGTGACCTGAATGAAATCATTAGTAATCGTTAGAGGGCGAACTTTGTTCCCCAAACGTCTAACTCGACGAAACTCATCAATCACCGGGGTCTATACTGAACCACGTGAAAGGCGTCGACCAATGGGATCAGCTTCTGGTTTTGATTGCTTACTGCTTCGCTATTAACTTCACACCAATTGTTTTGTTTCAGGAACTCTCCAATAAAAGTGTCAAGCGAAATTAATATTCAAAAGTTTGTTTTTAATAATATAAGAGTGCCTGGCTGTGTAACAATAAAAACAACTTGTGTACGCGATATAGAATGGTTTGTCTATTTCTTTCAGAATACGATCAATTTCAATGGTGAAGTAAAGACATATAGGACAGTTGAAATTGTTTTATACATATTAATAACAATCTATATAATATGGACGTGGAACTATGTATAGAATTGGGGTGATGACAGGGTATGAAAATTAAAAATCTAATTTTTCCGTAAGTTAGGTAATTTAAAAATATTAGACAGGTATTTTTTTATTTTGTCGTATATTAGAACAATACTTAGATACAATGAATCAAAGTTTCGGAGTGAGGGCTAAAACGTCATTTCTACGTATAAAATGAATACATAGAAGTGACGTCACGCGACATTTCAAATTTAATATATCGTCGAAAGTATTCGTTTCTGTAAAAAAATAAAAAGTACGTTTTAAAATAACCTACCAGACGAATATTCAAATAAAAATTAGGCATCTACCCTATTGCCTTTGTTTATGCTTTGTTATAACTTCTTTATTATACGCTACACAGTTAATATGAAATTTGTCTTCATGTCATCCTAGGTCTTAGCATGAAAAGAGTTTCCGACACAGAATAATCTCCTTAAGACGTCAAAGGCAATACTGAAAGCTTTTATTTTCTTACAGAAACTAATACTTTTGTATTAGTTTCTGTAAGAAAATAAAAAATACGTGTCTAATGATTTAAAATAATCTACCAGACGGACATTAAAATAAAAATTAGGCATCTACCATATTCATTTTGTAACAAAAGGTAAAAAAGTAGTAAAATATGAACCCTACGCAAAGGATTTAAATTAACTGTAAGAAAAAAGGCGATAGTATTGCATCCGAGCAATTTCCGAATCAATCTCCTCCCTTTGGAAGAAGTAGTAATCGACATAAAATCTATAAAATTCTACACTGATTAATTCTTCTGAGATTTTCTTTTGCTACGACGTTGTTCGATATTGAACGATTGAAAACCCTTTACAAATCTCTCTGAGTAATATTAAAAATATGATTTTTTTTAAATATGGATATTCGTTTATTACGTAAAAATATGTCAGATTACGATATAATTATAATGACAGAAAAAATGACATAAAACATAACATAACATCACGCCTTTTTATCCCCGACGTGGTAGGCAGAGGTGCACACTCAATGCCACTGTACAATGTAACACCCACTTCTCACTACTTATGTTATAAGTCCCATGTAACAGGGGTTTTACCTATTGCCATCTACCGGGCACGATTCCAGACTCCGTGGTACTACTGAGATTTTTTTTAAACTCAATAATACTTTGCCCTACCCTGGAATCGAACCCACGACTCCTTGACCCGTTGTCGCACTTGCGACCACTCGGCCAACGAGGCAATCAGAAAAACTGACTTTGTATGAAATAGCCCATTTCAAAATTTGTATGAAATAGCCCAAATCAGAATTTATCTTGAAAAAAAAGTACTAACAATAAAGATTTATTTTGTTTTGGAACAGCATGTCACTGTATCACCTAGACTTAGATCCCAGCTGTAGCTCTTATATGTAAGAAAAGATATTTTAAACAGATCCTTAATGTAAGGCCTCAACATCTAATCATGTTCGCATCCCCGACAATATTGGAGTAAAGTTACTTGAAGTATGAAGACATATAATAGTAGGAATTTTGATTAAAATTGTTTCTCTGTACATTTTGTAGATAATATAACTTCACGTTGTACTGAGATCATACGACACATAGCTAGGTACCACACCGCTGGCTTCATCAACATTCTTTGAAAGAATGGTAGCTTTAGAACTGACTTCGTGGCGTTTCTTTAATCGCGAACATTTTTTCTTTTAGACTGTAAATAAAAACAAGTAGATGCATGTCGAATAGTAGTAAAAGAAGCTGTATTTTTGGTCTGATAATCATTGCGACGGCTTAGTATAAAATTTAAGTCGAGTCGTGTAATGTGACTAGAAAAATTTCAGTTTATCAAAGACTTTTGGAGACACTAGTATTAGTATAATTAATTAAATAATTATATAAATTAATTAATAATAAATAATGTTATATATACATTGTTATAAATTAATTAATTATTACCTATGTTTTCGGCTTACTCATGTAACTGTTTGACGAGGAACTCGACTAGTTTCAGCCACGCTAGAGGCTCATATTCATGAGCAGCATTCCACTCGCGACTCGGCGACTGTCGCGTTGCTACTGAATTAGTCGAGTTAGTCGTCAAACAGTTACGTGAATAAGTT